GAGCTGGAGACTCCACGCGAGAAGAATATCGTTGAAATATAAAGTTCTTCACTAAGCAAGAGGGAATGAAGACCTTCGAAACTGATGGACTCCATTCGCGCATCGATGTGCCGCACGAAGGGCCGATAATCTTCGCCCAATCCATCGAGGATCCAACCGGCGAGGTCGTCGTTGGAGACGGGAGAGCCCATAGCCGCCAATTGATCAGTTGTGGCCTTGGCGCCTTGAAGGTAATCATGAATAGAAGTTGTTCCTCGACGCAGGTGTTGCAGAGATTTGGTGAGATGCCGAATTTGGTACTTGGACCCAGTGGCATAGATGCGAGCCAACGCCGTCCACGCATCGAAAACCGTGCCCTTATTGATGACATTTGGCAGCACGGCTTCAGAGAGAGATAGATTGATCCAGGTGAGTGCATACTGATCATGAACATACCACTGCCAGTAATTAGGATTTGGATTGCCCGCGACAAGCTGCGGTGGAGCAGGGAGTGATCCATCAACGTGCCCAATCAAGCGATGGCACCGAAGGAGGGGTGTAATCTGGGCAAGCCACAGGAGATAGTTTGTCGGGGCGAGCTTGACGGACAGTTGGGGATTGCCCGGAAGAGACAGGGAAGTCACCGACAGAGAACTAGAAGCAGGAGAGGCGGAGGTAGACGAAACAGAGGAGGATTCTGTAGCCATTTTGCAGAAGGGAAAGAAAGGGGGAAAAGAGAGGTAGAAGATGATAATAGAATTGACTCCTTAGAGTTCTTTAAGCTCTAGTACCATGAATGAACTCACAGCTTGAGTTGTCTATTATTAATGATTGTTTTTATAGTACAAAAGAACCTAATTGTGCAGCGAAAATCAAGTAACAGAAAGGAGAAAAGGAATGAGTTCAACAACGGTCCAAACTGACCACTATCAACAGTTGTAACAATATTGAAGATACTTGGGGAATAATCTTCTCATCATCAATCTCCCCAATCCCAAAGCCCCCTTCTGAGAACGAAAAGAAGAAAGATGAAGATGAGAAACCCAAGCCGCCTGAAGACTCCAAACCCGAGGTTTCTTTTCTATTCCTCTGTTTTTACTATGTTCCTCGATTTTTTTTTTCATCCCCTATGTTCAATTCATAAAACAAGTCAGTGTCTGATAATTAATTGGGTGTTTGTGCTTCTTTGCAATTGGAGTTGCAGCCTCCACCAGTGATCACAGTTGTGCTGCAGGTTTACATGCCTGTGAATCTTGCGCCATGGAGATCGAGAATAGGATACTGAGAATGAAAGGTCTCTCTTCCTCTTGATTACTTCAACTAATCTTCTATTTTTTTGGTTGGTTTCATGCAATTTGTAGGTTCAGTTTGTAGTTGTGATTTGTGTGTGTATTATCGGTGGGTGATTCACATTTTTGCCCCACCTCTCACTCTGTTTTCTAGACCACTTTATTTTGCTTTTAATCTCACCAACTTTTGAATCCCGGGCAGAAAGAATTAGGGTTATAGGTATAATATGCCCCTCTACTTTGTCGTTTTATCAAACGTGCCCTTCTACTATTTTTTACATCAAACATGTCCTTGTACTTTGGAAAAATTATCAAATATGCCCTTATGTTCAAATTTTCATCCAAAAATCGTTAACCACGATCAAACTTTGGTTTGGGAGACACAAATGTCTAAAATACCCTTAATAATTTCACTTTAGAATTTTGTTTGGTTCTTTTGTATAGCCAAATGATTCTTATAATTTCACTTTAACGAGACCCGGGAAATAAAGTAGGGGACAAACTGAAAAATTTCCCTCCCATTTGCCGATGTCGGGTCGTCTAAATCTCGGTTCAACCATGATTGATGATTTTTTCAATGAGAATTTCAACATAAGGGCATGTTTGATCATTTTGTCAAAATACAAGGGCATGTTTGATGTAAAAAATAGTAGAGGGACATGTTTGATAAAATGACATAGTAGAGAGGCATATTATACATATAACCCAAAGAATTAATTAGGACTAAACAAAGTCCAATTATTTTTATTGATTTTCCCATAACCGTCAATCCAAATTCAATTGTTATTCCAACTGGAGTCAATTTAGCTTCTTCTTTTTTTTTTTTTTCTTAGTGATTAAACAACCACTTCGTGGGTGTCAATGTCATAAATCCCAACAAACTTTATAGTTTGAGTAATTCAAATCGATTAAGCCTATTTCCATGCTTACTATTACTACTATAACGCTGATCTTCTTCGTATTGTAGAATATGCATAGGCCGTTATTTCATTGAACATCTCCCCACTATCATAAGCTAATTTAGAGGTGGCAAATGGATTGGATTGGTGGATTGGTGGATTGGATTGGTGGATCCATGGATCAAATGGATTGGTGGATCCATGGATTGGTGGATTCATGGATTGGATCAAGTGGATTGGTGGATTATCCATGAATCCAAATGACATCCTCAACCAAGGACCAATATGTAAAATGTAAAAAGTTTAGGTACTAAAATGTCACAATGAAAAATTTTAGGTACCAAAACGTAATTTTCCAATGATATTTTTCGTATAAAAAATAAAATTTTAGGTACCAAAATGTAAAAATTAAAAATTATAGGTACTAAACCGTAATTTGCCAATGATCCATGGATCCAATCCATGAATCCACCAATCCAATTGGATTTGGATCAAATGGATTGGATTTAAATGGATTGGATTAGGTGGATATTTTTAATGGATTGATGGATTGGATTGGTGGATTGGATTGAAATTGCCACCTCTATAAGCTATATAGGAGCCAAATCAGTTCATCGTTATCATTTTCTTGATCTTCCCAATTGATGATTGTTTTAACCTTCACAGCATGATCGTTCTAGATGGATCAATCCAGTTGAACCTAAAGTCTGAAATCATATCTAACGATGTGCAGCAAATCATTTTGATGCATATGGACCCATAGCACATGTCAATAGGAACTGAGATCACATCCTCCAGTCATACACCACATAATCAATTGTCAAAGGGAATCCTCAAGCTTGCTGCTTCGTTACTTTTCAGTCGGTAGGTACACTCTCCCGCCCTCATCTTGGACAGGCTGAATCGGTAATTTTGGTTTATTTTCAACTTCCAAATCCATTCCTGTTGTTGTCGTATATTTTATTGCATAAGAACTTGATCAGGAGTTAGTTACTATGTCGTCACTATATATTTCGCTATTGTTGATATCATAGGGAACTTTTTCAAAGATGGATCATATGTTCTTATTTGCCAAAATTTATGAAGTAATTGAGTCAAAGCTGAGTAGTTTCATTCTCAATTTAAGTTGATTACATAACAAATGTACTGATTCCTACTTTTGGTCACAATTATTTCATCATTACAGCCTAAACTTCTACATAAACCATAACAAATTCCAAATTTGTTGTTTTATCAAGGCACACCAAAATATCTGGTTTTAAAGTAGGTCACTGCATGTGATAGGTTTTAGTACCATGTAGAAGGCTAACATTGGGTAAAAAGAGATTTTTAGTCTGCTATGTTTCTTCGATTGACAACCTAATCAATTTGTTTCCAGGTAGCCCTTTGCAGCTAATTGCTATCCAGTCATGACATAGCATTATGCTAAAATTCTTGCGGGTGGGGCAAAACCAAGCTCCTCACCCTTGTGAAAAGGAGTCATACAGAAAGAGCAGAGGTAGCAGGGGCAATAGTCGATAAGGAAGCAACTGCTCATTCCAAAGAAGATGGCCACCGAGTAGGTGACAGAGTCATCTCACCTTTGGTATTCTTGGCTTCTCCTCTTTTGCAAATGTTTAGGTTATTAAAGTTCGACCAAATTACATCAGCTGAAAATGATTCTGTGAACCCTTCAAGTTTGATTTAAGGAAAAGAGAGAACTGAATTGAAATTCGACCTGGACATAACCAAACTTCGGATTGGTAACAGAAAAGCCTTTGGTTTTTTCATGTTTCTGGGTTCTGCTGCCGTGGTTGGCTACAAATTGCTGCTTTGGTCTGATTATTAGGGATATGCTAGGCGGTACTGTGCATTAGGCCAATCTAGCTTAATGGTTGAATCTACGGGTTATTGCAATAATTCAATATTTGGCTCAGCTCCTCCTCCGACCAACGGGTCGGATTATAAGCTAGTAGTCTTTAATTAATCCTTTCTTGTGGCCCTAGCCCCTAAGAATAAATCTAGCTCATTCACAAAAACAAAATAATACATGAACCGTTGGGTAAAGTATTAAGCAATATTTTAAATTACAAAAATTTGAAAATGCTTTTGCTTGTTTCCAGAGTCCAGCAACATGAAAGGTCATAAACCGGCTATAGCCGGTAGTATATAGACTGCACCGGCACTACAGAATTACCCTAATTAGATACCACAATTACGATTTTAATTCTTGCACATGAGAACTACCTACGCCCAACCCAATAGAGGGCTCTCCCGCTTAATACCGTCCTAGGCTGTAACCCAAAGTGCCACTAAAGTCTGAACCCTTTTCAAGTATTGCTTTCCTTTCTTGACGTCCAAGTTCCACCGTCATCCCAAAAATGAATGTCACAGATTAGTTATACAGACTACGTGGCATCTATACGAACGGACAACACATCCTGTTTCAACAAAATTGCATGCAAGGAATATTATTTTATACCATTAAAAGACAAAAACCAGAAATTAACAATCAGCAAACCAGCATTATATACATTCATCCACTTGACGGTTAAAAACACAACAATTACAAAGACAAAAATCTGTCTAATCTTCTTTTCCACGCACATGAACACTACCCTCCAAATCCTCTCCCTCTGTTTTTTCAACGCATATGAAAGAAGAAAATCAAAACCCATATATCAAAATTGCTAAACCAACAGCAAAACCAGAAACCATCCTCCACATGCATTTCTTTCTCCATACTTCACACTTATCAATGGCGGCGGCCAAACTTCCCTTTTCCCTGTTGGCTTAATTATTCCTTCCCAAGCTGGCCAGCTTTACTAAAGTAAATACCACCCATGGTTTTTCCCCAAAACCAAAACCAAAACCCACTGCTAAACCCTCGTAACGAATAATTCATTCATCACCACCCCTTAATATATATTTAGCAACCTCAAAACCTCTTCAACCTCACCGATCACTGATCATTCTCTCTCTTCCTTCCTATCTAGCTACTCAAATTTCCCAATTACTCCCTCTCTGTTTCTTTACAACCCATTTTCTCAGATGGAAGCTGCGAATCAATTGGGTTCAACTGCTCATCCCAGCGTGGCCCCGCCCGCCGTGCCGGGAAACGCAACTCCGGGCACCTTAGGCCGTCATCTAGCTCGCCGGCTAGTCGAGATCGGAGTCAGCGACGTGTTCTCTGTTCCTGGGGACTTCAATCTGACGCTACTCGACCATCTGATAGCCGAGCCGGAGCTCAATCTCGTCGGCTGCTGCAACGAGCTCAATGCTGGCTACGCCGCCGACGGGTACGCCCGAGCTAAAGGAGTTGGCGCCTGCGTTGTCACGTTCACCGTCGGCGGTCTCAGCGTGCTGAATGCTATAGCCGGTGCTTATAGTGAGAATTTGCCAGTCATCTGCATCGTCGGCGGGCCCAATTCCAACGATTACGGGACTAATCGGGTTCTGCATCACACGATCGGGTTGCCCGATTTCAGCCAGGAGCTCCGGTGCTTTCAAACCGTCACCTGCTACCAAGTGAGTTTTCCAGTTATGGGTTTTGTAGAGGGAGGTAATTGATAGATGAAAAATTGTCTTAAATGGGAAATGGGTTTCGTATGATTATTGTTACAGGCAGTGGTGAACAACTTGGACGATGCACATGAACAAATCGACACTGCTATTTCGACTGCATTGAAGGAAAGCAAGCCAGTCTACATAAGCATAAGCTGCAATTTGCCCGCAATTCCGCATCCTACTTTCATCAGGGATCCAGTGCCATTCTTCATTTCCCCTGTGTACGTACCCCTGCTACTTACTCCTGCTATATTTCGTTTTTGATGGTGCCTTTGCGGTGTAAGATGCATCCTACCGCCAACTCGAGTTATTACGCTGAACGGTTTATGACCAAGAAGTTCTTGTGTTCAAATTTTAACAATCTCAATACCAATAGTTAAGTTAAGGACAAGTTAGGATGAAGCTGTGTAAACTTGCAGGTCATAAACTGACACTTGATTGAGGGGCCATATAAGAGAATGGTTTAAGATCCAGACTTTTGGTATCTTCAAACAATTTGAAGGATAGGGTTAAATTGCTTCTCCACCGATAGGTTCCCTATCATATTCTTTGTTATGTTTCTTGCAGTGTAAGCAATCAATTAGGGTTGGAAGCAGCTGTTGAAGCAGCGGCAGAGTTTTTGAACAAAGCTGTGAAGCCTGTAATCGTCGGCGGACCAAAGTTAAGGGTGTCGAAGGCACAAAAGGCATTCGTGGAACTTGCTGATGCTAGTGGGTATGCAGTATCTGTAATGCCTTCGGGTAAAGGGCTAGTGCCAGAGCACCTTCCAAATTTCATTGGAACCTACTGGGGTGCTGTTAGTACCAGCTTCTGCGGGGAGATTGTGGAATCTGCTGATGCTTATGTGTTCGTTGGTCCGATATTCAACGACTACAGCTCCGTGGGTTACTCTTTGTTGATCAAGAAGGAGAAGGCAATCATAGTACAGCCCAATCGTGTGACGATTGGGAATGGGCCCTCATTTGGATGGGTTTTCATGACCGATTTCCTGACTGCTTTGGCTAAGAAACTCAAGAAGAACACCGCTGCTGTTGAGAACCACAGGCGTATATTTGTTCCCCCTGGGATGCCTCTTAAGTGCGCTAATGACGAGCCTCTTAAGGTCAATGTCATGTTCAAACACATTCAGGTAGAATCACAGAGTGCACTAATTCTTACCAGTTCTTGTAAACATGTATATAACTACTGATTGTTGTGCGATTGGTTTGTACAACAGGAGATGCTAAGTGGGAACTCTGCTGTGATTGCTGAAACTGGAGACTCATGGTTCAATTGTCAGAAACTCCGTCTCCCTGAGAATTGCGGGTTAGTGAACTATGGTTTCCATCAAGGACTTCTGAGTTATGGGCCCATCACGCTTACATGGTCATAAATGGGGTTTTTTCCCCCTGTTGTTTCACAGCTATGAATTCCAGATGCAATATGGATCAATTGGCTGGTCAGTTGGTGCCACTCTTGGATATGCTCAAGCAGCCAAAGACAAGCGACTCATCGCTTGCATAGGAGATGGGAGCTTCCAGGTGAATTGCAAGTCCTTGCCTCGTATATTCATGTGTGGTCATATAACATAGAGCTGTTTGATGAACATTCTAATATGTTCTTGTTTGCTCAGGTGACAGCTCAAGATATTTCGACAATGATCCGATGTGGGCAGAGGACTATCATATTCCTGATCAACAATGGAGGCTATACAATTGAGGTGGAGATCCATGATGGTCCGTACAACGTGATCAAGAACTGGAACTACACTGCTTTCGTGAATGCCATTCATAATGGTGAAGGCAAATGCTGGACTTCCAAGGTAGATACCCGGGCTTTGTCTTTCTCGAATGCTCGATATGTTATGTATGTTTTGGAATGTTAATTGACGAAGTGAGTTGTGCACTTGTGCCAAATGCAGGTGCGCACAGAGCATGAGCTGGTGGAAGCCATTGCAAAGGCAACGAGTGAGCACAAGGATTCACTGTGTTTCATTGAGGCAGTGGTGCACAAGGATGATACGAGCAAAGAGCTTTTGGAATGGGGATCTCGAGTTGCTTCTGCAAACAGCCGGCCCCCAAATCCGCAGTAGATTTGGACTACTTGTGTGACTTGAATTTGAGTGTGTTACCAGAACTTTACTTGTATTGCACCGTCACTTTTGTACATCAGAGTTAAACTTAATCTGTTCTTTCCCCGCCGTTTGCTCATATGGATGATGAAACGAGCTTAATGTTTGTTGAGACGTTATAATGTTGATTGCAAAGGCATATTTGTGAGCTAAATGCCTTATGAATTGGATCAGATGCTAAGACTCAAATGTGCGTTTCTACATCGATTTGATTTGATCAATTGGCCAAGCCACCCCGTTCATTTTAGCGCCAGAGGATTACCTTATGCGAAATAATAAGTGCGCAAAATAATAAGTGCGCAAGTACAAAATATTTTAAATGGTAATAGTTTTAATGTTGAATCAAAATATTTTAAATGGTAATAGTTTTAATGTTGATATTTTAAATGGTAATAGTTTTAATGTTGAATTAAAATATTTTAAAGAGCAATAATTTTACGGTTGAACCAAAAGTTAAAGTGATTTTATTTCATTCAAGTTAAAGTGATTTTATTTCATTCTTAATTTTTCTTGGTTTCTTAGCTACAACTAAGGTTTTAAGTTTTGCACCGATATTTGGGATATAACAAATACCTTAATTAGTCGATATTTGGTATTGTCGAATATACATATTATTTCATGGGAGTAGGATTGAGATTGAATTTCAAGGGAATTTGGTATTAGGGATTACAGAATTTAGATCATATATACTAAAATACCGATCAATACCGAAGTATAAGTTAGTGTTTATTTTATTCCACACGACTAGGCTCCCTCATCCACTACTACGAGACCCTCAAACACAAAGATGGTCACATATTTTTTTTTTCGGCGGTAATTAGTCAGACTTTTTATAGCTCCATTTGGCCAAATCGACCAAATCTCGAAAACAATACTTCGTCAATACACCCAGAACAAACTAGGGGACTCCCCTGTACACAAACTGCAAAAAACCTAACCCACTCAAAAGACAACATCCTGCACAACATACTCCTGCACTACTAAAGCAAAATCAGGCTTACTCATACTATAAAGCCTCACCTCCTCCTATAGCTATCAAAACAGAACCCGACCCGACTAACCCGCCCGATCAACCCGACTCGCAACCCGATCGCAATTCGAATTGACTAAAAATCAACAACCCTTAACTCGTCCGATTCGCAACCTGACTGAACTGCAACCCGATTAACCCAAATCCAATTGACCCGAAACTGACTAACCCGCAACCCGACTGACTCAACCCGAACTTCACCTAATCCACTTGAATAACTATTATATTATATAATACATAGTTTTTCAAAATAAAAATTTTCATTCTAAACTAAGGTAAAATTATTTTTTCATTTCGTATAGGAAATTTAAAAATATGAAACTCACTTGATATTATGTATTTTAAGAAAATTACAACAATTGAAATATTAAGGTCACTTGAACACTAAGTTCTTTAACAAAATTAAAAAAGTAAGTATGAAATATAAAATCGGCACAATGTGAATATTAATAATGAATAATTAATAATCGAGATCATGGACAATATTAATATAATATATAAATTATATTTTTGATTAATTTAACTATTTAATAAAATTATCAATTAAATATAAATAAAATAAAGCAATGTATTTGATAATTTGATGCTTTTAAAAGAATAGGAAATTTTTGGGTATTCAACTTTTTGGGAAGAGAAAGAAGAGAGAAATTAGGTTTTTTGAATTTTTTAGAAAAAAAGGAGGATTTTTTGTGGTTTTGATTTGTGGGAAGTGAAGAAGTGGAAAAGTTTGGTTCTTTTGATTATAAAAGAGAAATAAGGAGGGAAACTTTGAGTTTTCAACTTTTTGTGGAAGTAAGGAAGGAATAGAGAAATTTGTTTTTTCAAATGGAAGAGAAAGAGGAGAGAAATTTCAAATTTGGCTCTTTCAATTTTATGGAAGAGAAAGATGAGGAAAAATTGAGTGTTTCTAATTTATGGAAGGAGAAAGAAGGAGGAGAATTTTAGTATTTTAATTTTTTTTTAAAAAAAGAAAGAAGAAAACGAATTTGGGGTTTACAACAATCATTTATTTTAGAAAAATTTACTTCATTTGTCTACTTGTTTACTATGCTTCTACATTTATTGCAATTTCAACACTACATAATCGGTATTTTACAACACTTAGTAAAATGTTCGCACATTTAAGTGGTGTTCAAGTTGGACTTTCATTTCCAAATGGGTGTTAAACTTGGCATGTTAAGTCTTACGATTGCAATAACTCAGTCGAGTTGCGGGTTTGAAAATTTTGGTTAATCGGGTTGCGTGTCACTTTGAAATGGAAAATTGGGGGGGGGGGGGAGGTTTGGATAGGAACTTTGGAATGGAAATTTTATGGGCGGGTGAATATGAGCCAACAATTATACTAAACTTGATAAGTAATTTTTGACGGTTTGTTGTTTAGGGTATAAAATATATGGTTAGGGTATAGGGTATAAGTTTTTTTATTAACATATGTTCACTTGAAGTCATTTAAAATATTAACGGCAGGAGATTCCTTTTTAATTTATGTTTATGGTACGCGGTTAGGGTATAGGGTATGTGGTGTAGAGTATAGTATATATTGTTAGGATATAGCAAATATCACTTTTTTATCTATGTTTCGAAAATCTAAGTATGAATTTCACTTTATATTAACTATACTAGCAAAATCACAACTCAGAGGGATATATGGTTAGGGTATAAGATATGTTGTTAGTGTATAATATATTGATGGTTTAGGGTATACGATCAACAACATATTAACTTAATATTGTCGATTGAGAGTAAGGCTAAGTTTATAGGATATATGTTATTGAGTAAGTTATGATTGAAGTCACAACAATTTTACTAAATTTGATAGTTAAATCTTTAATGGTTCAATTTTTAGGGTAATTCGAACAATTTTACAAATAACCTGTTTGACAACAGTTTACTAAAGTTATTAGGGCAATGAGTTTTTTCGAAACAACTCATTTTACCACTCTGTTTTTGTCAAATACCATATTTGCATGGTTATACTAAACGAGATATTATAATCCAATTACTACTTAAATAATATTAAAATACAATTTAAATAACTAACGGTATCTTTTGGTTGCAAATGTTGATATAACCATTATTATTAGCTAGTGTACTTTACCAATTATGATTAATTACATAACAAGTTTGCAAGTCATATAAATTGATTCAACATTTTGACTAGTTTATTTAAAATTAAGTATATATACGAGGTAGAAAGAAATTGGTTAAAAATTGAGAAAAATATTATGAGAACAACAGTTCTTTCTTGGTAAATTTAAAAATATGATAATGTATACATTGAATTTTTGAGTTGGGTTCAGTTACGGGTTATTTGGGTTATGAATCATTCGGGTTATAGATGGGTCGGGTTATAGGTTGGATCGGATGACGAGTTCATCAAGTTATGGGTTGATCGGATTACGGGTCAATTGGTTTCAGGTTACGGGCGGACTTTGAGTGGTTGACTTTTTGTCAAATCGGGTTACGGACAGGTTGTGAGTCGGGTGGGTCGGGCGGGTTAGTCAGGTCGAGTTCAATTTTGACATCTCTACCATTAACCCAGCTGGGCGAAGTGGAGGTACAGCAGGACAAGGCTCCGCTATTGTCGTGTTTCTTGAAACCGGCCAGGTCCCAAACCATTCAATGTCGACTTTAGAGACCCGATACCACCCGATTCTGCCGGCACGTTACATAAACAAGAGAAAACCCAGAGTGAAATGTAGGAGAGAAAACCATAGTGAAAACCTAGATTATTCGAGCACTCATCCCACCTTGAGTCTCGCGAGTCTTGTAGACGATGGGATTTGAGATGCTGACGAAGAAAGCGAGCAGCGGGCTAAGCAACTACGAACTCCAATGACGGTGATGGTGATAGGGCAAGCACAAATGGTGCTGGATATGTAGGAGTTGGATCGATTTGGAGAAGAAAGCGGTCGATAAAAAGCTAGGGATTTTTTTCTCTTGGTAGAAACATGTGAACACGAGAGGAAGAGGGAAAGGGATTAGACTTTATCTCTTTGGTGTAAATTACTAATGGCCTTCAAACGGTGTCATTCGATCAACAAAGAAAGAGGCTCAAGAAACACTTTCGCAGAAAGAAACTCAGAAGTTTCGATGGGAAGAAACTTCTCTAAACAACAAACCAAAAAAGACGTCGTTTTATCCTTCTTGGGCGATGGAACAGTCGGTGCCAAATACTGAACCTGTTTTGCGACGAAGAAGTTCATCGCTATATCATTCGCATTTTCAGCGGCGAACTTTCCGTCTCCATAGCTTAGAATTCGTCGCCAAATCCATTACCTGCCCTCTGTGATAAAGTAGAGACATTCAGCGATGAAAAATAAGTTTCATCGCGGAAACCTTACCTTCAGCGACGATATTTCTTCCGTCGCCCCAATTTTCGTCGCTAAAGGTCAGATTTTTTGTAGTGCTACTGTCGGATCTCCCGCAGTTTAATCAACAGTAAATCAACCAAAGGAAATTACAACTTGGACCTAACTAAGGAGCTAGGAGGCCTCAATCCAGAGTGAATTTTCTCTTTCTTAAGAACTTAGAACAACTTACTGCTTTCTTTCTGTTTACTTTGAATTCACCTTAAAAAACTTAATCCCGCTAGATAATAGAAGTTCACGGAGTAGGCAGTAGATCTAGACCCCGGGTTGATAATTGAATTTACCACTATTTTGCATTTCCATTCTGCGATTACACTTGGTCGCAGTTTGGTGTTGTGTCATAGCGTGTCAATTTTCATGGTGGAGCACTATATCAAGCTGGATGACATACTATAAGAGGTTTTCACTTGTCACAACACTCATGGAAACTTTATAGTGAGCTACCAAAGATATGACCGAATCTCAGAAGATGATGTTAGAGATGATGTTCCAAGTGGTGGGACTAAAGGGTGACACTTGATAGGCTGAGGCGACAGGGGGAACCCTCAAAGTTCTGATGACTCTAATCCCGATGCTGACTTCTGCACCATCATCGTTCGCCGAAAAAACAGTCACAACGAAGGGAGGATGGTGCATCATAGGGGGGGGGGGGGGGGAACTAGAGCCTTGGGTATGGTGAATCCCACGTGAGGGGCGATGGGTATCTGGGTTAAAATTCGTAGCATGCATATTACCCACTCTAACTACATTGAAGCTGGTTGCAGAACGTGGGAAAAGTTAATCTGCTAACTTGAAAATTCGTTAGCAGATATTAACTGATATCCAAAATATATGAACTAGTATCCAAGTAT